TGCGTGGGCTGAGAATGATAGCTGAAAAGCGGGCTGAGGATCTCAATTTTTACGACAGCTTTTACCGTCATCTGTCGGGAAGGGGTTAACAAGCCAATGTGTGAGCAGTAGTCCTTTGCACAGTTGCCACACACACAAAGCCTGTTTGGTGGGGCAAAGCAGTCGCCATGTTCACTTTTCTCCTCTCTTGGTCCATAGCTATATTCTCCAACCTTCAGTGGCACTGAGTTCTGGGCAGATGGTGCAATAACAGGTGCTGCAGTTGGATGCTGTTGCCTCCCTTGACTTGGCACTGATGTTAGCGAACTTTGTGTCGTGTTTGCAGACATCCTTGTAGTGCAGCACCATGCACCCTGCCTGTTTGGACCCTGAGGTGCGCGCCGAAGAGGGCATCCTGCATGCTGCATTGATATAGCCAAGCCAGCACAGGTATCCCTGTGTGAGGAGGGCGACTATGCTAAGCATGCTGGCCTGTTCCTGGACATCTTCAGGCATGCAGCTGTCCTGCATGTGATGGACCAATGCCAGAGCAGCATATCTGTGAGAGGAGGCTGAACATGCTTAGCACGCCGGCCTGTTCCAGGACTTCTGGGTATGCAGCCGGCCTGCGTGCACTGGCTGAGCCAGTACAGGTATCGATCGCTGTGTGAGTATGGTGAACATGTTTTGCATGCTGGCCTTTTTCAAGACATTTCGGTACAGCACACAGTCTCTCCACAAGATGCCAAAGACCCGGCACAGGCAATGAAGGTGAGCTGTTGAGGCGGTGCTCGTGACGGGAGTAGGTGGTTAATCAGCTCTTACTGCCTTAAAGGAGGTTACTTGGGCTCTGTATACTGAGACCTTGGTGGTTGTGGTGAGCTTGCTGGTCTCCCACTGTCTCTTTGACAGCTTGGCCCTTTTGGCAGCAGTGGCTTTCCCTACCTGCTTGTGCAGGCTAGCTCTGGGGTCGAGAGACTGTTTTTGACGCAATAACTGATCTCAACTAAGTAAAATTCATTACCACTTTCAATGAATATGCTGGGGACATCACTACATACTAGTACCTGTGCATGATATTTGTCTTCTTCAGGCTTGCGGGATTGCTAATGAACTGACAGGCCTCTGGAGACCAGCTCTGGTCAGGCCAATATTGATGTAGAGTTTCCCCCGGATCAGCATCTGATGTACATATACTTTGGTTTTTTCCCTCTGTAATGAGATGATCTGAAGGTGTGCAATAGTACAATGCCTCGCCAATGGTGCCGTGCTGGGATATACCTCCGTAGCTGTTGCAGTCACTGTGTTTGCCCTCGTTCTTCTATAGCATGATTATATATTGGTATCATCATGCATGTCTGCAGAGCTCATCCTCTGTAGGGAGAAGGACCAGCTCTTCACAGACAGGGCACAGATGCTGGGAGCTGTGTCAGAGACTATAATCTTTGTGGCGTAGAGGTTCTGGTTGTGCTTGGCCAACTGCTCCACCTGCTTGCTGCAGTCAGCGCCAACATTGTCAGCCTTAGATTTGAGCATGATTTTGTTGGTGACATTGGGCCAAGAGTCCTTCTAATGCCGTTATATATGCCTTTCATACTGCCACTGTCATTACAGAACAGATGTTCTAACACAGTGTAGCACAGGTGCCAGTTGGCTGGCGGGTGGTGCCAGCACGGATCTACTAGTGCTGGGAGCCCTGCCTGGGAGTCTTCATTGCCTGATGGAGCCAATGTAGTGGAATTTTCCATTGAATAAGTTGTAATATTTGCCGCACCGTGGGAAGATGGCCATGTTTGAGGAAAGTGTGGAGAATAAGTGGCCAAGCATCCCAGAGACCTAGAAAAAGAGGTGTCTGTGAGTTCTTTACCAGCTTATGTAAAACTGGTGACAGGAGTGGCATGGTGACAGAGGGAAGCAAGTGAAATTCCTAGTGCCTTTTTCGCCACTGGGTTAAGTCTGGCATCTGACTCGCGAAATGGCAGGGATGCAGATTGGAGGGTAGGCCAACTTCGTACTGGCCATGATGGAGAACCGTCCCACGTTGTAGGCGACGGTGCAACAGACAGTTGGGCATTCCATTCTTAACCTGCCAAGTTGTACTTGCCAATACAGCAGGGGCTGGGATTTATCCCAAGATATAACCCATGTTGCCTACATCAACACAGCACATACCAGGCACCACAGGGAACTGCCCTGCACTATAGCAAGCAGTACAACAGAGGCATCCGCATTCCGTTTGGAACATTGCCCAGTTGTGCCTGTAAATGCAGCAGGAACAGGGCTTAGTCTTTAGATGGCCCATGTTTTCTGCACAGCTCCGCACATACCAGGTGCCACTGGGAACTGCCTCACACTGTAAGCAAATGCTCAAAAGATGTTCCATTCAGAACACTGCCGAGTTGTACCTGTCAATGCAGGGAACCCACATTTTGTACATCAAATCTGCTTTGATAATACAAGGTACAAAGGAAAACTGGCCTGTGCTGTAGGCAGCAGCAAAACAGATGCTTCAGCATTTCCATTTGGAATTGTGCCAAATTGTGCCAATTGATGGTGGGGCTTTGTTGTGATTACCCTAAAATTTCAACATCAACACAATAAGTCCCAGCCTTCAGTTGGAGCAGGTCCACTCTGTGCAAGAGTCAGTGGAGCAGAGCAAAACAGTTGCTCCTCATATGAGTAGACGGAGCTGAGTTTCTCTGTGCACTAGTGGATGAAGTGGAGCCAACAGACCTGCTCGGTTCAGCAATCAGTGGAGCAGAGCTGACTGAACTGTGCTGTGCACAAGTCTATGAAGTGGAGTCAATTCTGCTCCATGCAATATAGGTCAAGGGGGCCAAGCCAGTACAGTGATCCTCACTACAGGAAATTAGGATGGAACCCACAGAACTACACTTTGAGAAGAACCCTTGTGATGCTCATAGAGAACCCCTGCTGATTTCTCTTTATTGCTCTCTTTGATTTTTTTGTGTGTGTTATAGGCGCCATCTGTACCGGAGTCCCCATGGGCACTGGACGTTGATGCACAATGAACACAGGTCCTTGGAGGGGGCATTGTAGAACTGGTGCTTTTTGGCTGGTTGGGGCCGCCAGCACAGATGTATGGTGAAGCCGTAACACTGGAGCCTCTGCTGTTCAGTTAGGGAGCTGTTCTTTCGGCATTCTCGCTTGCTGTTCTGAGGGCAGCAAGTTTCTTCAGCGAGGGGTTCTTTTTGTAGTTGACCGAGGCTTCTCTCTTGGCATTAATGGCAAGTTCCATCTCAGAGAGATAAGCCTTAAACTGGTTTTTTTGTCTCTCCTGGTCCTCAAAGAACGACGTGGCTAGGATGCAGTTTGTGTTCTGAGTAATTTACAAATTCTCTCTGGTCACTGCTGTGCTCTGGCTTGCTTCAAAGGCCAGTTCTGTGGAGTGTAGGAACTGGTCCCCGAGCTCTGGATTAGCTGACCTGGTAGCAATGATGCACAAGCATCTCATTTGCTTGGACTTGTAGGTCTTCCTCAGCTGCAAGCAGGCTTTTCTTCACACTAGAAAGTGGTTGTTGTCACTGTCTGCACTATGGAAGCTGCATGTTAGAAGCAAGTTATCGAGGGCTGCTTCTCTGGTGACAGCTAAATCTAGCTGGTGCCAGTGGCTGGATCACAGGTGCCTACAGGAGACTCTAGCATGGCTTGATCTCAAAGAATTTGTTGCAGAGCTCCAGCAACCACTGACCATTTTCATTCATCTAGCGTATGTCAAAGTGGCCATATGATTTGAGCCCACCCTGGCATTGAAGTTCCCAAGCAGGAAAATGTGCTCCGACTCTGGGATCCTTTTAGGAGGGATCTTGGAGAGAGCACTCAGGGTGCACGCCTTGCTTCTGAAAAGAAGAGGGAGAGGACACACTCTGAGTCATCAGTAGAAAGTTCAATCATAGACAGTTGGCCATTTTTGCATGCAAAGCCACCGCCATACAGGCGTGACCAATCTGCAGGTCTTCCTTGCCAGAAGACGTATAGTCCTCCCACAACTTGCTGTCTGCAGCAAGCCTTATTTCTTGCAAAGCAGCATTGTCCATATTGAACCTCCTGAGCTCAGTTGATATAGGCAGGTTTCCTTCAGTCATTGATCTGCTGTAGGTCACCAGAAAGGCTAGGACACATGGTCCTGACATTCCAGCTCTATGGCCAGTAGTTTTTGTCCTTATATTATTGTGCTTGTGCAGTAATGCCCGTGTGTTTGTTGAGTATCACTCTAACCTCCAAGCACCAACTGAAGCAGGCATATTATGGGCAGGTCTGCATCCTATTGACCTGGGGCTGCCTGGCATAAGGCCAGTAGTAGCTGACAAGAAAGTGAGATACAAGGATCTCTCCCATCGTTGGAGGCAGTTCATAGCATCCGTATCTTATGCCAATCATAACTCATAACTGCTGCCTCTGGAGCTGGTTCTGCTACTTTCCAGCAGCACCAGAATGACCTCTCTGTGGTGGGGACCAGGGTAGATCCCTCTCTCAGCCTCACTGATGCTCAAGAGAAGTACATTTGTATCAGCTTGGCTGCAGGAGGTGCCAGATGGCAATGTGGTGCATCAGCCCATCACCCTCAGGGGCTCCACTCCAAATCTTCCATAGGAGTTTATACTCCATAGCCTTCTGTCCTCCTGGAGATCAACAAGAAGGCAGTGTGGTCACTTTTCCATGGCTGGATTTGCAAACAGTTTTCCCCCCTGGGTCGGCTGGCTTCCATGCCTTACAAGCCCCTCCTGCCCAGAGTGATCTGTTTTAAAGGCATCAGAAACTCGCCCGTC